ATACAATCACATATAATACATTTGATTTGTTCGTACGAATACGCAAGAAAAAGTGCGCATGCAATGTAACCGCAGCCTAAAGCTGTTGTATTGTTGTATTGTGCGATCTGGTAACATTATTGAAAAATATGTTTTTGTGCCGCAGTTTTGTAAGTCAAACGTAAACAAACCATTAAAATTTAAATTTCCGACTAATAAAATATAAAAGATGTCTTAATTATTACAAATTGACAAATTTAATTATTAATAGTTGCGTTTGTAGAGTAAACGCTACGGCAAAGCAAAAAGGTTTTTTTATAAGTTGAGGAAAAAGTTGGTGTAAATGGCGTCGGTTCCGATATCTGAAAAATGTTGTCTTACGGATTTTCTTCTAAATACAACTCAGTCTTTTAGCAGTTTAGATTCATCACAAAAGAAAACTGTGATTAATTTAGGACGCGCTAAGCCTTTCCTCAATATTATCTATAAGCGCAAAAGCGGCTTTACAATGCATTTTTGTAGTTCGTACTACGACAAATATAGCTGGCTCACCGGCAGCTGCGTCCGGGAGAAATTGTTTTGTTTTCCTTGCCTTCTTTTTTCAACCACTCCAAATGTTTGGACTCAATCCGGCTTTAATGATATAAATCACATTTTTAATGCTGCCAACAGGCACGCTGTGACCGGAGAACATATTAGGAGTTGTCTAGCTCTCTATGAATCCGGCGAGCATAAAACTGTGACTTCTGTAGGTAATAATATAGAGGCATACAATAAAAAGGTTGACAAAAATCGCGATTTGATGAAACGTTTTATAGACACGATTATTTTTGTAGGCAAGCAGGAGTTGGCATTTGGTGGTCATGGCAAAAGTGGTGATTCTTACAACCGTGGCAACTATGTGGAAAGCTTATCATATTTAGCTATATATGACAGTTTATTAGACTCGCATTTGGAACAATGTTCTAGTAGTCAAGATACAGTTTTTTCCGGGCTATCAAATGATACACAAAATGAATTAATTGAAAATATTGCCGAAATCATAAGAATGGAAATAAAAAATGAAATACGCAAAGCTCAGTATGTTTCCGTCATAATAGATGAGCCTTCATATGTTAGTTCTAGGGAGCAAATAAGCATAGTGTTTAGATACTTACATGCGAATGAGGTTAAAGAAAGATTTGTGGGCTTTTTTGATTTGAGTATATCAAGGGAAGCAAGCGCAATAGCAAGTTTTGCTGATTTCATTGCGGAAGAGTACGACTGCAAAAATAAACTTATAAGTCAATCTTACTATGGACCGACTATTATGTCTGCTGAAGATGATAAATTTCAAATAAAAAATCCTGAAATGCATCATATTCCTATAACTGTTCCTTGTTATGCTCATGCACTTTCTTTAGACTTGTCTCGTTCTCTAGAAAACATATTAGAGCTTAAAGTCTTCTTCGGATATATAAACTCTATAGTGCGTTTCTTGAACAAATCTACGAAAATCTCTAAAATGTTTGAACTTTTTAGTGAGCGTTCCATAACTGAAGTAACTGAAACTGAATGCCACTTGCACTCGCGAATAGTTACTGTTGTATATAGTCTTAGATCAGATATAATGCAAACGTTGAATTTTATTTTAACAAGTTTTGAAAATTGGGATAATGAAACTATTTCCCAGGCTGAATCTTTATCAAATACATTCGAAGACAAGCATTTTAATTTTTTATTGTGTGTAATATCCGAAATCTTTACAAAAACAGACACACTCTTTAATGATAGCGAGAATAGCAATGTCAGTATTGATGCCGGAGCTGTAGAGGATTTTTTGTCTTGGATCAATTTCAAGTTTGTGAATAAATTGGATAATTTTCTAAAGGAAGTGAACGATTTGGTTCATCCAATTTTTAACCAAAGAAAGTTGCATGTTGAAATGAAGTCTAGGAGTCATTATAAAAAATTATTAATTAATATTAAGGAGAATATAATGTGCCAAATTAAATATAGGTATAAGTCTTTCAATAAACTGAGTTTTTTAAATTTAATGAACAAAGACAAATATGATTCGTTCAGCAAATTATTTCCAGAGGAATTACTTAATGATCTCGTCTCTAATTTCAAAGGAGTTTTTCATTTTTCTGCTTTAAAAAATGAATTAAACATTTTGTATACAACTGCGAGTTTAAAAGAAAAGCAAGACATATATGACATATATCTTCACATAAGTAATGATGCTATAAAAGATATATTCCCTCAATTATTAAAGTTATGTACTATATTTTTGACCTTACCCATTCCAATTGCCTCTATAGAAAAATCTTGCTCAGCGCTTGAAAGGATTAGGACTTATTTGCGAAACTCTCAATCAAAAAGTAGATTACCCACTTCATCGCTTATTTCAATAGAAAATAAATTACTTTTAAATATTAGAAATAAGCCTTCCTTTTATAATGACGTTTTGTCGGAGTTTTTAAAAATGGATCACAGAATAGCGCTGGAATATAAATAGGAGTTTTTCTTTTAGATTTTTTTTTTAAATTAAACTAAACCAAAGCTATAAAACCAACAATTGACTCAACATTTATAGACTAATCTAATTGCTAGAAAAATAATATAAGTAATATAATATAATTAAGTAAGTATAAGTATATAAGGTAAACTATAGACGATATGCATTAGATAGTGCAAATTTTTTCTTAGTTAACCTGGGTTTAGATATATGTGAGCTAATTATATAGTTCCAGTAATCAATGTAAATTTTTTTATATTAAATTTGTTTATAACCTTATAACCTCATTTCACTTAATAGAAGCTATTCTATTTAATGAAGAGGTTTCGAACATTACTGAATTGCAACAACAAACATTTTTATTTATTTTTAATTAATTGCACTTTTGGTTGAACTTATAGTTCGAGTATTGCCAAATACTTATTATCAGTGGTCTTGGAAATATTTCTTATATTTAATTATGTGGAAATAATTTTTTGAGGCTGCAAGAATCAAGAGATGAATTCATGTCCTGCCAAGTTTGAAACTCAGAGTCAGTGTTCGTTTTAGCCAACTGACCCAAATCCGAATTTGACTTGTATGTTCGAACTTAGAGTTTTGTTAATTTTCTGTGAAACTTTATTAGCAAATTCACTAACTACGTTATATTAGAACGAAATCATAAACCAAAGAAGTAAATCTTTTTATAATAACAAATTTTCGTAATTTGTTTAATGTACTTTCAATGATCAGTTTATATTAACTCTTTGTTTTATATGATACAAACTCTTTTGGAAAAGTATTCCTGCTTTCTGCCCAACTTTTAAGTTTATTTAGTTTAGTTTATTAAGCCTACTGAGATTGCTATTTTGCCTTTGTATTAATGCACTACGACTCTTAAATGTAAGTCCCTTTTATTGTAATACTGCGAAACATTTCCCTCCAAAAACATTTCCATACTATGCACCACAATATGTCTTTGGAAATAATTTAAATAACTTGTTTTTGGTTCGGCTTTATAATAACTCTAAATATCTCTAGAATGTTCTAAAAGTACTTACTTTAAAATTCATTTATACTATTGTTATAATTGACATTAAGTATACCCAGACTAGTTTGAATAATTATATTTTTTAGAATTGTATACTTTTACTTCTTTTTTCTTACTTTAAATACAACTAAATTTTGTTTTACAGTCTCCTACGCAACTATGTTGGGAATTCTAAAGTAGTATGTGCTGAGTCTTTCAGGAAAACACTATGAACGTTACTATGTCAACCAAAGAATACTAACAAACATTATATAAAATTTTTGGATCCGCATGATTTGTAAAAGATAATGCCGTTTACAAAAAATAAATTTACGCTAATGATGTTGGATGAAGTTATATTTTTAAATAAACCTTGGAAACTTGACTGAACAAAGGCAAAGATCGAACACATCAAACTAAATTTATTATATAGTAGGATAAGGGTAATGTCCCTTTTATAAAAGCCAAAATCAACATGGCTTCTTTATGATATGTGTTGAACACTTGAAGACTATGGAAACGTAATGAATGAATTAATTAAATTGAATAAAATTAAACTAATAAAATATTTTATTATAGGTAATCGAAATAAATGTGGAATCTACAATCTCTTGTTATAAACCCAGAATGCAGAATGCGTATTACTTTGCTGTTATATTTTAGGAATTACAATAATTTGTATAAACTAAATTTTACTGCTATTATGTTGAAGCTATTTGAACCAGTGCACTTGAGCACTTTTACTTTTTATTAACTCGAGGTATCTTTAAAGCCCCTCTTTACACCTTGACTGGATTATTGTTTATCACTTCATCAGACTAAGCAATAATTGACCTCAGATCTGCATAACTCCCCGAGGAGCCTGTAACCATTCTGAGATTCGATAATGCGGTGTTGGTAAGTCTGTCAGTTTTCGCAAATAATTTCACCGCTCTATCCTTTATGTATTTTTTTATCGGATCAATCTTGAGGTCCCTGAGGGTGTCATTCGTCCTAATGTACCATGATATTGTTGATATTACAAATTTGTAACCATGGACAAAATTTATATGTTGCAATGATATGAAATTGTAAACCTCCATTAAGCCAGGTTAGGTTGCGAGTACTGTGATAATACACCTATCAATATTTCCACACGAAAACAACTATTCAGGATATTAAACGTTGTCAGTTCAAGTGTCCATTACTCGAAATATTATCTACAAAATCTGTAATGTAACGTTAGGTTCTAAAAGCAATGTATGTACCACCTCCGATTGTAAATGGATTTAAGTAATAAATTGAAGAATGCTGGTATTAGAATCTTTGATTGCATTGTTCTTATGAACGGTAACGATGACAACAGGGTTTGTCGACAAGAGATAGTGGTGAGTATTGTATTGTACATTATATTTGATAAACCTTGATTAGAAAAATTCAATACTATTGAATACTTTTTAGTATAATTGCTGCGTTTGAATGAAGAAATACAAAAGATACGATCTGCAAGGTAATATAAGAAAGCATCGTTCTCTTAATTTAATGGTTTAATGTAAGAACGGAAAGTACTATTCCATTAATTTAATGCTGTAAGTCACAAATCGATGATAATGATGGAAAAATTATTATTTCCAGCGATTATTAACTGTATGTCGGCAAAAAAATATTGAGAAATGGAATCGAATTTTCAATTGTTTTTTTTTCAAGCTATAAACAGAGCATGTTTCATTAATTAGACAGCTTAAAAACACAACATGAACTAATGACTACATGCAATCTAAGCAATGGTATATGATATAGATCAGGGCTGTCCAGACTAGATAAAATCGCGGCCCAATACAAGTCACTAAATAGCTTGGAGGGCCACAGAAATAAATACATACGTTCATAATTTTTCTGAAGAAAAATAAAAATACATGAGGCCCATGGGCCGTGCTTTGGACACCCCTGATATTGATGAACGCTCCTAGATGTATTACTTGAAAGTAAAATCTGTCGAAATATTTTACGGATATAACACGAAGTCAATACAAAGGGTATTGTAATTATGTGTTAAACGTACTAATTAAGTGTGATACATTTTCTTATTTAATTGGCTTAATCAAGAAAATTAGTATTGGCTTAAATAATTACTTAAAGACAGAGAGCACAAACAAAATAATTGAAAGTGAAATCCTAGGAACAGATAAAAAAAACTTACCAAAAATGGTTAATTTGTGGAGTAAATGATGTGTTAAAGTCTATCGTTCTAATACTACTGAACCGACATAACAAAAAACAATGATATCTGAAGAAAGATTTTTCAGTAGATCAAATCCAGTGCTACTTGATGAACGAGCAAAACCAATATAAATAAACAATTGCATCTTGATTTTTAATAGAATAAAATAATTTTGCAGTTTATGAATGGTCAATCAATGGTTATAAAATGTATAATATATTTTAAATATAAAAATGATTGTTTTTATATATTACTTCTGTGCTTACAAAATACTTATTTATAAAAAACTGGAATATGAATTTGAAACAAGGTCTTTTATTAATTGTTGATTTTTTAAGGACGCGCTCAGCCATAAGAAAATTTTTGAATGTTTAGTTAATCAGTCAATTGTGCAAACCAAATCCTATACCAAATCATATTAAAACAAGGCTTTGACATTTCTATGGCATCATGTTCAGTAGAGCCCTCTCTCCAAGATCCATTTGTGGAATCCTTTTTTTTCATATCAAATTTACACCGATACGTCTTGAAATGTAGTCAACCTCAGTGAGATAGAATACAAATGCGACCTAATAGCTCACCGCATAGATATAGTACTCTCTTTGAGATTACGATTGTATAGTAACGAAGTTCGACCGAAATTGATTGAAAAGCAATAAAATAATAATAATAAAAAGTGATAAAAACTTGAAGGTCTAAAATTTTATTGAGTCTTGTAACGACTCAATAATATTACTCTTCATTAAGTCCTTAAATTGTATGAGGGATATAAAAGTGTTTAACACATTTAGTAAAATTGTTTTGTCTTTTCAATTCAATCCCTACATAATCACTAAAATCTTGATCGATAGTTAGACCCTGGGTACAATTATCCAAATTAAAAACTTTATAATGAATATAGTATTTATAGTTTTGTGGAGGTTGAAAGAAGAATTAGACAGCGAACGTTATTGCAGTGAGTTAAATCACTTTTTTTACCTGTAAGTTAGTCTTAAACATATAAACTAGTCAAATTCATTTTTTAGTAATTTTATAGAAATATATTTATTCAAGTACTATATTGTCACAAAATATAATTTTAAGCTTAAAAATATTTTTTAATGAATGCAGTTGATATATTACAGTGGCACTACTAAATGTAGTGGCGTATACGGATCGGGGGCCCAAAATGCTACAGACCATTTTTGACTTGATATATGGATTTTTTAATTAAGTGTTTTCATTAAAAAAACTTTCCTTAACAGACTCTCTGTATACGTCCCTGACTATGTGTGATTATAATATGTGCGGCACATCAGTCCATATAAAGGCTGCTACAGTTTCGATGGAACCGAAACTTGTATTATTGCTCACCACAGTTTTTTTCATTCTGTTTTATAATCCTTACTACAATCCTTATGAGTAGAAAAAATTAAATAAATGATAGATGGATGGATTGTGTAGGGTCTATATAATATATATATTTAAATGAAAAAGTTTGAAAAATATATTAACAAAACGCTATAAAAAATTTTTTAATATAAAATATCAAATTAGTTCTATTAGAAATTGTGGTATTTAGATAATGTACCTTTTTTTCCCTTGTCCGAGTTTAAATAAACAGAATTAATATTTGAGTTTGATCACATCAACACTTTTAATCATTTTGACTACATAGATATAAAAAATAAAATTAAATATAAACTTAATTCATTTTATAATTGAGATTGTGATTACCATTCGTAAGAGGACCCTCTAATACCCATGTCGTTAAAGTTTTCAACTATTATGAAATAAGACATCATAAATAATAATATATAATCTTCATATAGTATCAATGCTCCCAGTAAACTATCTTTGGTACGCATTTGGGCATACCGACCGCCAGTTATAGTCTGTGTATGATAAGCCATGAACTGAAATTAAAACGGAACTTTATATATTTTATTAAAGAGAAAACTTCAAATTCTCACCATTATTATCGTTATTCCACCAAGAAGTGTATATAGATAATAACTGATTTTAGAATTAATCATCGCGAATAAGCCCACAAGAAATACTGAACCTATGAATAATATAATTGCAACAACAAATAGCGCGATGATATCAACGGTCATGTCGTACTGAAAGTAAAAGAATAAAGTTCTACAATTTTTCCAAAATTATATAAATTATATAGTAAAAATATTGATTTGTTAATTTTTAAATTAATTAAAATCAAGGATATTTCTAATATGCGAAAATGAGTAATATTCCAGAGTGATCCAATTGAACGACAACTTTCGAAAAGACCGAATTTTTTTTGATTAAAACTAATATTTATTAAATGAATACAAAAATAACATTGAAAATTGTTTAAAATTTTCCACAAAGCTGTCTTTACCGCAAACTACGGATCGAAGTACGTCGCTACTAGAGTATGAACACTCGAAATCTTCTTCAATTTAGGAGCAGCACATTTTTTAAGCACATCAGCAATCTGGTATTGGAGCTGACTTTGATCAGTAGGTAGAAAGAATTGGCAGGCAGAGAATATTTGACAGATCCGTAGCGATACCAATTTAGAATTCTTAGAGACAATTATTTAAGATATGTATCAACATCGAATTTTGAGAGATAGTTTATTTCAACATCAGGAACGAAGTCTACTCCCCCAAAATTAGTAGCTCTACTGAACATCATTCGATGTCACATTTTATGCACTCGTCATTGCTGGTGATTTTTAGATTATTTTTTTGTATTGCAACCATAAAATAGCCTGTTAAATACCAACTGTCATTCTGTAGTTTTTTGTATCGAACAACATAGGTCTAAGTACCTTGCTTATTTGGTTCTACCACTTAAAGATTTTATCCACTAGTTGTAATGATAGGTTTCCATTCAGTGAATATGAAGGGTACTATGCAAATAAAATGAAATGTAGAGCTTTGTCTCTCATGTATTGTGGGTTCATGTGAGTTTTGCAGGACCGTCTACTCCCTCTCTCCTCTACAGGACACCTGTCATTGCTTGACGTTTTATGATCTTTTGAATACCACCATTTTTACACGTTCTCTGTGTTAATTGAATTTATTTTTTTGGGAAATTTTTTATTTATGTTGAATATCGATAAAACTTGGAACTTTAAACTTGTTAACTTCCTTTTGAGTACGTTTTTTACTTTTTGTTGCTTTCTAATTTTACGATATATTCAACTAAAAAATCGCTTCTACTATGTAGCGTATTTCGTTGAATACAATTTTTAGTATTCCAATCTACTTCTTTCAAATGCACAATTTTTTACCAATAACCAATATATGATATTGCAATACTTTATATTATAACGTTTTATGCTGTCATTAGCTGAAATATGGATATAATTTTGTCCCTAGTTCAAAAATTTATGACTGTTTAAAATTATTTAAAATTCAATTGGGTCATCCTATATATTCTCTAACATTCAATAGAATATTCATAGGGCTATATCATATAATCTGTTAATTAACAATACAATAATAGTGTTTTGACAAATGTGATAAATACCAATATTTAATTGCTTTAATACAGTCAACCTTCCATAACTCGAATTTCTATAACTCGAATTTTTTATAACTCGAATTTTCTATAATTCGAACTAAAAACAGTGCACCAAGGTTCTAGAGAACAAATTACATACAATTCTGCTTCCATAACTCGAACTTCTATAATTCGAATTTCTCTATAACTCCCAGAATGAAGTAGAAGACTCATTCAAAATTCTGAATTTATATTTGTAAACGAATGATATTACAACTGATGATCACTATAAAAGTATGAATAAAGTGTAATCTCTTTTTACTGAAAATAAGAAAAAAAATAAAGTCCCAGACCCTAATTTCTGAATATTTTACTTCACTATAACTTCTATGCTTTATTTGATTGCAAATAAATAAATATCTTAAAATGAAATTCTAGTTTCTTTCAAAAATAAAAAAAAAAAAAATTCTCTAACTCGAAGTCTTCATAAGTCGAACCTATTTTTTTACAAAATTTATGGAAATTTGACTGTATTTATATATTTTTTCAATTGCTACTCCTCCGTTAAGAAGATTTTATTAATAAATTTTAATAAGTAAAAATAAATTTATACATATGAGTTGCATATTTTTAGGGGCAAAAAAAATGAACCTGTCAGGTGAATTTATTGCAGTTGCATTGTCAAATAATTATGCATTAGGGAATCTTATTTTAAGACTGGGCACTTAAGTATGAACGAAAACTGAGAAAAATTCATTAGAAGTAGATCTTAACAAGTTATACCCTTACACTATATGGTATTACACAAAATATTCCTCATAAAGTTTTGCGTTCTTTATAAAATTAATGCGAGCTAATACTTTAACCAAATGTCTATTTCTTGTATAGAAATTCTGCAGATTTGTTGTAGAGCAATTTAAGATAGAGACTTTGTTTTTAGGTAAATTTTATCGATAGAGCTTAATTCATGTCAGTATTTGAAGAGAAGAAACCCACATGCTCTAAATGAAATAAATTGTACTGTCACAATAAATAAAATCTTCATGTGGTTTATATGAGTAGTCTAGAGATGAAATAGAGCTGTATTTTTTTTTAAATGAGTTGGGCATTATAAAAATCATTAAATTTAACGGTGTAAAAATATGGTTATTGATATTTTTAATATTGCAAATTTTATGGCAAGAATTCGATTAGGATGATATCTGACTTCAAGAAGAAGACAACGGCAGAAGGGCTAATAGAGTATAGAACCGTTTCAAACATGTAACTTAGATATAATTTTTTTATAAAATCTGGGCTTGTATTACAAAATTTCGACTAGAATTTCTGGTTTAACACCAAAACAATGGCAGAATAGTTAATAGAAAAAAGACCCATTTCAAATATCTATTCAAGATATAATTTTTTTAAAAAGTCTGGATTACAAGATTTCGACTAAGATATCGACTAAGATTATATCGGTAGAAATGACAAATTGACTAAAGGTACCACGTTTCAAATATGTGACTAAGATATAATAATGTTTTAAAAAATGGGTCTATGGGTAATGACTCGGCAATGTCGCATATTGTACGAATATATAAAGAATAGTTTTATAAAAATCTTGTACAAATTTGTGTATGTGTTATGAATATAGACAGAAATGCAAAGAAATAAGAAAACATATCATGTAAATAAATTGTACTTACAGTACAGAATGTTGCAGCAATAATGACAATAAGAGTTACTATTGTTACAATTAAGAAATTTAATAAGAAAAATTGGATTTTCTCCTCCATAATCAGTACAGCAAATCCAATTGTTGTGCATTCAAACTATAAAATTTAAGTATTATATATATATATAGTAGTATTTCAGTAAGTTCAAAATAGTGAAAAAATCGTTAAAACATCATAAACTTACAATGAGTAGCACCATTACACAATTCATCGGTGCCTTGACTCGACAGTTATCGCAAAACACGAAACACGTTACCATTACCATGGCTAACATCAAAACGACGACAGCTACCACATAGTTCCGCCTTAAAGGCGCGGCTAACACGCATCTAAAATATATATTCTTATATATACATATTCAAAAATTAATAAGACGAATCATACATTGTGACTAGTGGCATCCATTGAGCTACTGTTAGTAGGATAAGACAAAATGATATACCGAAAACTGCTAGAGCAAATTTTGTTCGACGATGAGTATGATCTTCTTGCTCCATTGCACATACCCTTAGAAATGTGGTATATATCCTCAGTAATCTACAACCTTGAAGTTCATAGGTGTGACTACATTGTACGTTAAGTTTTTGGGATTGAAGCTTCTTAGCAATGGCATCTATATTCTTCGTCAACTCTTAATTCTTAATCAATATTTATTTTATTAATTGTCGAATGTGGTCAATTATAATAATTCAATATTATTTACAAGTCACTTTTGCTTGGCTAATTAAAATACATTAATTCAGGAAAACTTAAAATTTGGAAAAAATTGCATATAATTTTTTTTACAATATATAAATAAGATTTTTAACTAACTTCCTACTATGTTTTAAACTATAATGTTTAATTATTATACGATATATGCTTTAAAACTATCGTTATGCGATATCAGAATCGAAGAAGACTGTTTGGATAGCCTGATAATAATTAAGGTCTGTAACTCTCATCAGTTAACTTCAAGACTGTCTTAATAAGCTAAATATCTTATACATTTGCTATTATATTATTAGATATTCATATATCTCTAAAATTATCACGAATAGATTCTATTGATTTTAGGTCACGTTGGGATTTTCGGTAATGAAATAGGAGACAAGCGTGGTAGAAAAAAACAGCCTTGATATTTGTAAATCTGTCCATAATATAACATATGCTTAAAATCTGCTAAACTCTTTAAAAAAGATATTAACTATTATCTAAAGTTATATTATATTGTAATTGTATTGCGTGATGTATACTTGGTCAAACCTTTTCGAATTGATCCGATATGCTATATGTACACATATACAACCATAATAAAATATCATTGTTTACAGTAAAAGGGCGCATTTATTTTGGAAATAGTTCTTTAGTATTTTGTCAGAATAGACAGTGTTGACTGATCATTTTCTGTCATAAATCTTCTAGGAAATGTAATAATCCATAATAGACTGACTCCGCTTGCAATAATTTCGATTAAATGGGTAAGAGATTGATCTACTTCAATAGAAGAAGATTGAAAATTCTATGTGATCTCGTCAAAAATTGTTCGATTTTTAATTTGTAGAGTCTCCTTGAATTAAATTTTGGTTGCTGACCTGTGTGAATGGTACTTTAGTTTTTTGTTTGTAAATAGGAGTAACGTTAGACCACAATAGAATTGGTTCATTGTGAGATATTTCCAATATCAACATTATAGATATCAATAGTGAGTTGAAGTTGTAAACTATAAGTCCAAATTGGTTCTAAATAAACAGCATATATATGTATATATATATATATATATAGCAAAACTTGTGCAATGCGAAATAATAAGGATTAGAGTATGGTATAGTTTTGGTTTCAAAACTAATGAGTCGATTGGTACAAAATTTTTTTTGTTGTTGATAGTAAACGATGGGACTTGTACGATGGAAAAGCATGAGCTGTAAGATAGAATAAGGGCAAAGAATATCGTTAGTCTTAAGAGTGCTGAGTCGACTGATGCTTGATTGTTGTTGTTGTGGTTCAAGCTATTTTAAAAACACAACAAATACAAGGATGACAAATCTTGCACAATGGGATAGACTGGTATAAGGTTGGATTAGGTCAAGCAAGTATGAATTTCTTTGATATTTATACTTGGAAGTGTAGAATTATTATTACTTTTCTACAATTAACTTTTCTATTCTAGCTTTATCATTTCTTTAACAAATATACATAATATATACGATAAAATTCGTCATATTCCTTTGAGTAATTCAGTAGGCTTCTCAATAACTTCGCCTGTTGTTCGATATAACACTTTATGGTTAGGAATCTTATTGCAAGGAATCTTCTCTATTTATAAAAAATACTTGTAAAATAAAAGAACAAATAAATTAATTTAATAAGTAATTTAATATTTATTTTTATTTTGTATTATTTGAATTAATTGAATTTGCATTTAAAAGCACACAGTTTGCACACACATTTTTATATATATATTTATTATTATACATAATACTGATAATTATTATAAAACTTTTACTAAATTTGTAACTTGTTATAATTTAATTAAATTAATTAAAATTTTTATATTAAGCTTACAATACTGTCGCTTAAATATTAATATATTTTATCAACTCATCATGGTTTAAGCACAAAACTTTATATTGGAACTTTTATTGATAGCACAGCAGTTCAAATTTTAGTAATACATGCAGATTTTTTGAAATTTAATATTTAATATTAATATTATAATTAATTAATTAAAATATTAATATTAGTTTATTTATAGATTAAATTTTTAAATTAATTAGTTCAATTACATCAAATTAAATTAAAGAAACTCTCAGAGAGATTCAGGTGACGTTGCTATTGAGGCCATATTTTCAGAATCACTTAATGGCTGAGTAGGTGATTCTGAAGATTCAAGTGAAGTTGAGGCTGCAATAGGTTTCAGTATAGCAGATTTGCCTTTTAGTTGATTTGAGTTCACTTCCTTCCGCGCTGATTTATGTGTCGCTAATATGTGTGTTGCTCTTCGTGTGTAGCTTTCATTACTGTCGGATGAGCTGAGCCCTGTTGATATATTCCTTCTACAACGGATTTGTTTTATTGGATGATTGCATATGAGCTTAGGATTATCGAAATTTCTTAAAACACCATCCCAATCAACTTTTCCTGGTGTTTGTACTTCTTCGGCGTCTGAAAATATATTACAATAATCTGTAAACTGATATTCATCGGTAGGCGTTGGTACTTGAAAGACAGTGTTGGTGAAAGAGCAATTCTCAAACAAGCTTGTTACTGGATCTAAGTAACGTTTCCCATGGTATACCGTACTTGTTTGCTTACTTGGTGAATTGTTGTTCTTAGTCGCCTTTGAAACTTTTTTTGGGAGCTTTGTTCCAAATTCGGTAGATGGTGTTTCTTTAAAAGTCGATGTAGTTTTTAGAGATGATTTGAATACTTGAGTATGCGAAACAGGAATTCTAATACTGTCTACTGCAATGGTATTACTAGCAATAGCAGTATGTCTTGCGGGATATATGTGAAATGTGTTCATTTGCTGTTGTTCTTGCTGATCGATTGGAATTGTGATGTAGGCTGTCTGTCGTATATGTTCAGGGGTGTTCGTTTGTGTCGACAAACAGATTGGTGGCAAAGTTATAATATCTCTTGTGGAATAGTAGGGTGTGAGTTGCAAAGAAAAGCATTTATTTTTCGTCGTTGGATTTTGTACTTCGAACCGTTCATAACCTACATAAAGAATATGTTTATTAAAGAGAAGTAGACTTTGATATGTTTCTGTACTCTATTTTATGAGAAAGCATGCTTATGTGGAACTTAGCGCTAATGCTGGCATTTATTGACGATTACACTACCTTTGTTTCATACCTTCCACTGATTCTTCATACACTTCACTTATGGGTTGTGTTTCTATATTTCTACGATTCGGTATGGTTTTACCATACGAGTCAACTTTACTGTCTGTTACGTTTGAGTCCAAAGTTGTTTGTACAACTACATCCATATGCGAATCTAAAGAGAACTGCTTACCTGTGGAATGTATAATAATATATATTATATTATATTGTATATTAATATAATTTTATTTATATTATTTTTTTTCATAATGTAATGGTAGCTTCCTTTGAAATCATTAGAATATTCTATTATTCGAAACTATTTCCTTATATCAAGCATGATATTTTTTTAAATCATGCACAGTACCAATTAAATGGACGGTACTACTTAAATGTGCTTTAAATATGTGGCCTGAAGAAGTAAAGCTATTCGCAAAAATTTTATATTGGTCTAAAAGAAGTTGTTTTTAAAACAGACATTCGGGCTATAGAACCTGGACTGAAATTAGTAGACTACTCGCATCAATTGACTTTTAAAAACTTTTAAAAAATCGATACACGACCTAGATAACCTGGATTGAAAGAAGTAAATTTCATCTATACAGTTTTTATAGGTTTTGAAAAAATTGTTATTAAAATAACAATTTTTGCAAAAAGTTATTAATTTAATTAGTGCGTCAATCTCCAAATAGATAAAAACATGGACAAATAGAGAGTGAGAAAGAGCAGAATTTTACGTCTTCTAGTAAATAGACCATAACAATCATTGTTTTATATACCGCTACTATAAAACCTATTAAAATATATATTTCAAATTTTTCAAATTAATATCCATAAAGACACTTTGTGCCCTTAAGTAGCAATTCTTTGGGATATGGTAATTGTGTTTTAATTATTGAAGGCACATCAAATAGTTGAGCATACTCTCTTTAACCACAAACCACGTTAACTATGCTCACGCATAATCTACTCTCCAAAACTGAATATGGAATTGGGTACTATATATTACTATTCCGCTCAGAACTATGATATTGTGCTATAGTAGAAGAAATTCGGGATCCTTTTTGTAAATAATATATATGTAAATTAAATATTTTTTAAATATATAATATTTTTATATCACATTTTATATGATACATCATCTTACCAGACATTAGAATTCCTCGAACTCTCCTGCGCATTGAAGGCGATTCCTGATGCTATATTAAGCAACCCAATATATAAATAAATATAAATTTATTTACATTTAAATACTTACAGCTATTCTGATGCCAGCATAGGTTTTTGCTATCAGTTCCATCGCGGCAAAGAACCATTCATTTCGGGTTGGGTTAGAAAGCGCTTGAACCAAATGCTTCACTCTTGTCTTTGGTGTCTTTAAGGAATGGAAAGTAATAAATATTTACTAAATATTTGTAATTACATTTACCTTTTAAGTATACTTTATTCTTATTCATTATTGTTATATTCATTTCATCTAATATAATGGAAGCCACTCGTCTTATTTCATTCCAATCCTTGAGTATATCATCAACAGTTGTGTGCGTCGAGGTGACTGTGAATCGAATGACATATTTACCTTTTAGTGAGGATGGTATACAGTGCAGAAATCCACGGTGGTTTAAACGTTTTAATAATCGCTCAGTTATTTCATTGTCTCCCTTAATACGAAAAACTACTAAGCCTGAAATTAATAAATATTTTTATTAATATTATATACATCTGAAAGAATATTTACCTAAAGATAAACATATATTTAAGTAAGTAAATATAATATAATATTATTATTATATTTAAGTAGTAAATATAATATTATATATAAGCAATTCACTCTAATGAACCCAAAATAAGTTTGGAGTACCTAAAATAAAATTGGCCACTCCAACTCGAACCTATTAGTTCGATTAACGGATATTAAAGGATCGGATAGGACAGAGAGAGAGATATAGAGAGAAAAAGGGAGAGAGATAGAAAGAGAGAGAGCATGAACATTGTTTATGTTCAGGATGTCTTAACCCAATAATCTCAATATACTTTTCATTTGTCTTTTCTTAAGTTAAATTAGATGTAAACAATGGTAAATCTAAGAATGGAAGGAAACAAGCTGGAAGGAACAGTTACAAAGAATATCGTAAAGGAGTCAAGATACTGACGGTTAAAAGTCACAAATATTTTTTCTATATTTTATATTTCTATATTTATGTATTCTATATTTATATTTTTCTACTACATTTATAGGTACTGCAGAAAAATCTAGAACCTACCCAAATATCTTTTGGCTGGTATCTCGAAACGGTGGTCTGCTAAGACCAATGCCTCAAATTTCTGCGCTAAGCGGACACCTTCACGTATGTGACGTTGTAAGCCTTTAATGCCAAACGAACGTAGAACGAACCAAATTTTAAGTGCTCTAAATCGACGACTCAATGGAATTTGCCAATGCATATAATCAACAGACACACCGGAATTTTCATGTTGTAAGTACAAAGGTTCTACATTAAATGTGCGATGAACTGCCGTGCT